CATTTTCCGTTGCTTCAAGCATTTGACGTGCCAAAGACTGTTGAAGCGGGCTTTTCAGTGCTCCACCTCCTTTATGGTAAACGCTGCGCGTGGCCCGCCTCGGCCCAACCTGGATTGGTCGGAGTCGGGCGTCGGCTGCTTGCGCGGGCCTGGCGGGTAGGGCCCTAATTCAGGATCCCCACAACTTTTTGTGGACTGTTCAGGGGGGATACTTGGAGGTCGAACATCATTCGCGCTCGGCAAGGAACAGAAGATCAAGTTCAGTCTGGCCACATATCAGAAGATAGCTCCGAAGAAGCTGGAGGAGAGCTGGCTTGCTGTAATTTGCTTGGGCAGATATCTTCCGATAAGTCCAGCGCGATTTGAGCTGGCATTTAACAGCGTTTGCTTTGGCAGCAGTCGCCATGACAAGGGCTTGTTTCAAAATGCAAACGCTTTGTTTGTTGTCTTTTGGGACACCGGCGGTCGCAGTCGGGATTTGGCAGGCGCAAGCCCGCACAGGTATATCTCGGCAAGTGCAGCTTTGCCAGGAGATGCTGCAGAGCGTTTGGAGACCTGGGCTCCATCGCCCAGGGCTGGGGCAGCGAGCCAGGCCATGGCACGCTCCTTGGCATCGAGGATGGCAAGCTGGGCTGCGGGGAACTGCAATGTGGAAGTGGAGTTCCCATTCAAGGTTGCTTCTCATGCTGTGGTAGCCTCCAGTCAACAACGGTGCCAGCTTATAATCTGCCCATTGACGATGTCTTGGTTGTTTCACATGACAAAACATGGCTGGACGCCCTTGCCAGGAACCTGTCGGAAGAAGCCTGGCTTTCGCGACCAGCGCAGACTGTTCCAATCAACCTGCGAAGCAGTGCAGTCACACTGAGTGTGCTCACTCGCAAAAAATCCTGGGGAGACCATAATAGCTTCGAAGCTCTGGGTGCCCTTCCCCTGAGCACTTGCATGCCGAAGGACGCACCGACAACAACCAACGCCCAGTTCCCAATTCGCGGGGCAAGCCCCCAAGGCAAATTTTCACACAAGACTCATTTGTGTCGCGTGCTGCCAAGGCACACCGACGTGGCCAGAGGTTAAGCAAAGCCATTCGGTGGCAAGCTCCGCAGGGTGGGTGTGAGGAAGGTTTTGACGCTTGGCCGCACAGCGCAGGCAGGGAAGCAGGATAAACGGGCCTTGTGTCCCTGTTTCTTTCCAGCCCAGAGCGCGTTACAGCCATGAAGAATGCAGTGTGTGCCCATCTGGCGCCCTGGGCCTTCGTAGCTTAGACGGAGACAAAGCATGCCCAAACCGCACTCGTTTTGGCATGGCGGGGCTGAGCCAAACACGAACTACTTGTCACGACTGCTTGTGCGTGCGCGGGTGTGTGTGTGTGAGAGAGAGAGAGTGTGTGCGTGTGCGTGTGCGTGTGCGTGTGCGTGTGCGTGTGCGTGTGTGTGTGTGTGTGTGTGTGTGTGTATGTGTATGTGTGTGTCAGTGTGTCAGCGTATCAGTTTGTCAGTGTGTGAGTGTTTGTCTGTGTGTGTGCGTGTGTGTGTGTGTGTGTGCGCGCGTGCAGTGCGTGCGTGCGTGCGTGTGCGTGCATGCACGTGCGCGTGTGCGTGCGGGTGTGTGTGCGTGCGTGCATGTGTGTGTGTGTGTATGTGTGTGCGCGCATGTGTGTGTGTGTGTGTCTGCGTGTGGGTGCATGTGCTTGCGTGTGTGTGTGTGTGTGCGTATGTGTGTGTGTGTGTGCGTGTGTGTGTGGGTGGGCGGGTAGATGCGTGCGTGCTTGCAGTCCTACGTGTGTGGGTGGGTCGGTGGCGGGTGCGTTTGTGTGTTCGTGTGCGCGCATCTTTGTGTGTCTCTGTGCGTTAGTGCCTGTGCATCTCTGTGTGTGACTGTGCGTCTGTGAAGACGCATGCGTGCGTGCGTACATGTGCATGCGCGCACTTGTGCGCGTGCTTTGTGCGTGCGCCTGTGCCTGCACATGCATGCGCGCGCGTGCGTGCGCATGTGCGTGCGGGCGGGCGGGCGGGCGGGCGGGCGTGCGCGTGCGCGGGCGCGGGTTTGCGCGTGTTTGTGTGTGTGTGTGTGCGTCTGCGTGTGTCTGCGTGTGTCTGTGTGTGTGTCTGCGTGTGTCTTTGCGTGTCTGTGTTTGTGTATGTGTTTGTTTTTGAGTTTGTCTGTGTTTGCGTGTGCTCGCGTTTGTGCTTGTGTTTGTGTTTGTGTGTTTTGTGTTTGTGTTTTTTGTGTTTTGTTTTTTGTGTTTGTGTTTGTGTTTGTGTGTGCTTTTTGTGAATATGCGCGTGTCAGTTAGTGATTCATCATTCCAAGGATGCCACGGAAAAGGGGCCGTGATTTCGGATTTTGCAGATTGCCGGAGCTTTTGCCCACTTGCTTCCTGTGGGCCGTTATACGTTTACCAGCTACTGGCTGCGTCAAGAAGGGAGAGCACAGGGGCAAGTAGTTGGCATGTCTACGCTTTGGGGGCATAGACTGGATGCGATTCTCACGATGCTCGTTTAAGTTGCGCTCGTAACATTGTTGAAACTCTTGAGCTGTCCAGTCCAGGAGGGATTGCCAAGTTCTCACTGCAAATGTGCTTTGGCTGTTCTCAGGAAGCGAGGCAAGGTGATCAACGGCTTGACAACGCTCGGGTGCGGTCAGGCCTTGTGCCCCTGCTGCAACAAGGCAGAGAGACACAAGCTGCCACGCATTGGCTTGGGGGGACCTGCGGCCTTTGTTCTGCTTAGGTTCCGAGCTATGATCACGCGGGACGTCTTCTTGTTCTGGCCACAGCTGAAGACGGCGGAGGACTGCACCATTGGCTCGTACGCCCGGAAGCACCTGACGAAGCTTCTGCCAAGGACAAACCGAGCGCTGCAGAAAATGCACAAGGCAGTGGCGCCTTGGCACGGTTGAGGCAGCTTTAAGGCCTTATTTTCCCATAGAGCAGAGATTCATGCCCCTTTCCCCGCTTTTCTTCCCGTCCTCGATTTGTCGCCCCTGCTCCTTCCTGTCCCCATGGGGTTGATTTCGGGGCTGGTCGGTGTGAGCATTTGTTAATTCAATCCGTGGCCACACCCAGGCTGTCTTTTGTTTTTGTGCCAACCTCCCTGGGCATCGAGCGCGCGGGGGGCAAAATGACCCCCATGATGAGGGTGGCTGTCCCGTGTTGGGTGGAAATGCGGTGTAAAAAGGCCACCTCTTAACCATAGCCTACGCACCAGGTATGCTTGCTAAATGATGGTGGCTTTTCTGTGTTGAGGGTTGCAGCAGCTCTTGTTCCCAGAGGTGCCCTGCAAAGAGGTTGTCTGAGCAAAAAAGGTGATAGAAAAGGCCACTTCCTAACCATAGCCCACGCACCAGGTCCACTCTCTAAACGAAGGAGGCTTTTCCGTGTTGAGTGACGCAGGTCTGGTTTTCAGAGGTGGCCTGAAAAGATGCTTTCTAAGCAGGAAAAAGAGTGGAAAATGCCACCTCTGAACCGGAGCCCACGCGCAAGATATATCTTCTAGACGTGTTCAGTGACGCAGTAGCTCTTATTTCAAGACCCACTGTGCGACGCAGACAAGACAAGAATGGGCGTTGCGACGAGTGGAGTCGCCACGGATTGTTTGCAGGCTTCGCTTTGTCCCAAGACCGCTTGTTTGTTTGGAACTGAAAACAAAACACAGTTTCAACAGTGAACGCTAACCCAAAACCCGACACCTCTAACGGGGACCAATGGATTGAGCCGGCTCTTGCTCGCAGGCCTAGCCCTTCGCCCGCCAGAGCAGAGATGTTCTTTTCCGTTCCCCATCTCAGGGCTGTTTCCTTGTGCCGCTTCCTATCTGCGGATATAGGTTTCGGGATTGGTCTGCAGTTACTTGTATTTCGCGGTTCCAGTCACAATGATCCAGTCTGGCGATTGTTTTTGTGCCATGGAGCCGATAAGCACACCCACTGCGCTATGGAGACTGAGGCAACATGGATTGATACCGTTGATAGGACAGCGTCGTGAGCGCTAATACCGCGAATAGGACAGTATCAACGGCGTCGTGAGCGCTAATACCGTGAATAGAACAACGTTGTGAGCGCAAATACCGTTGATAGGACAGCGTCGTGAGCGCTAATACCGTTAATAGGATAGTATCAACGGCGTCGTGAGCGCTAATACCGTGAATTCGCCAGCGCCGTGAGCGCTAATACCGTTAATAGGACAGTATGAACGGCATCCTGAACGCT